CGTGACTAGCCAGTTCACCGGATTTAAATATCATCAAACATGTGTGGGATATGATGTGTGGGGGGTCGCCCAACACAGTATTATTTTTTTCTTATTACTTATCAATACAATTTCGTGAGAATGTTATCATTTCATTGCCAAAAAATCAAATTAAAGAAATTATTTTTTTGTAGGTGTAATACTTCTAATGTCGATCGAGCTTTTTCAGCAGGCCTGTGCTCGAGCGGCCACAGCAATCAATGGTCAAAATGAATTTTCCCAGAAAGGATATATACCTCTGCAAATATCACAGAGAATGACCTTCCGGATTTTTGTGTACCTATACTGCTGAATAACCTTGGCGTTGCTCGAAACTTCCAGTCAAACAGCCAAGCTAACGCAAAACATACAGCAACATCAAACTGTGTCCCTATAACGCACGATGGCAAAGGTGATGCTTAGAACTGGACATCAAATCACCAACCCTTAAGCTGTTAGTCAAACGTCTAAAACAAGGCGAGGCCTTGGAAACCTGATGAATATCACTCAACCAATGTTTCAGGGACATGATCTTCAACGTCTGCGAGATCTAAGTTCAATGATCAATCATAGCAGATACTTCTCTGTTACCAATATCCACATACATAAAGCTAATAATCCGTAAGAAGGGAATGCTAAATGCATCTCCAGACATAACACAATCGAAAGCTGTTGTTGCTGAAAGTCATGCAAGAACTTTGCGAAAATGAGCTCGACAAGTCAAAAAAGAATTATATTGGTAGGTTCTAGTGACAAAGATGAATAAATTGATTCCGAAGATGAAGATCCAAGTAGCATTTACTGCATGGAGCCTTGTAGCCGATTTCGTTCCAGGAGTGATGGCTGCAATGTCAAGATTCACGTTAGTGGTGGCACGAAAAATGTATATTGGATTACCGAAAATAGCTAATGCAATATTTGTGATATTTGTAAGCAGACCTTCTCACAAACATCGTAAGTAGCGCGGTTTGTTTGCTGTACCCACGATATGAGCTGTACATGCAAGTGCTATTAGTTGTCCGCCGTCTTGCCCACAGTGTTTGGTTACTTTACAAAGAAATTATATTTTTTCTTAAATTTAAAGATTGTTTATTTATGTGAACTATCATTTAATATAGATTGCTATTTATTTCAAAACAATGACTTATGACCTAATAATGAATCTTTTTCAAAATCTATGCTACCTAAGACCACGTTTCCCTATCGTTTGCTCTGTAATCATATAGCTACATACTGTTGTAGTGGTTGTTGATTCATCTGCGGAAAGTAAAGCATTTTTTTAGAAGTCGTGTACGCCTCTGGCAAACATAATTAGTCCCAAAGGATTCTATGTTAGCCGCAAAGCCGCCCTGCTGTACCATCTCAGCTTTGGAGTCGCAAGTTGACATTTATCTAGTTCTCAAGGCCCTTGAGCCAAGCCAAATTGATGACGAAAGGTACTAGTGGTCGACTCAATTAATTATAGCCTGTCCTTTAGCCTGTGATTCGGATTAAGGCTCTGCCCAGTCTAGACTATCGAATGCAATAAAGTTGAGTATGTCTTCCGTATGTGAGCAAAGGATTGCGCGAATGGACGAGGGAGTATCCTTCAACCCTAGCCCACTAAACTGAGAATACCCAACCGTAGAATAGTCCCTCCCTCACGTACCAACTATCCCAACCTGCCTGCAAACAGTGGAGTACAATGCAAGCTAGTAAATTCCATAAGATTCAATTAAATGTCAGATGTAAAAACTGAAGTGGACTACTTTATCAGTAGGGTGTCGAGATTGCGGAAAAATTTACAAGAGGAGCCTTTTCCCAGTTCTACCAACGTTAGGCAGTTCAAAAATCGGATTAGCAACGTTTCTGTGGGATCCTCATAGCAGCTGCGGTGTGCTGGCGTTTAGGCTTCTGCTTGCGCGGCTGCTTCGGTGTAGAAAAAATAGAATAGTCTAGTCTGTACTAACGGGTGATTTTTTAAGAGGTATAGGATTTGATTTAAAAAAAACACAACAAATTTGAAAAAACGACTAAATCTTTATTTGAGTCGATAGAAAGGTCGATATAATTTAATGTTCAAATATTATTTCATGTAAATGTTGGCCGCGGCTCCGCTTTAGATGGCCCATGCGCAAGGTCCAATTTTGGCACACTCTCTCCAACATATCGGCCGGTATCTCACGAATAAATGCTTCGAAATTGGCTTCCAGTGCGTCAATCGTTGCTGGTTTAACCCTGTAGACATTAGCCTTAACATGGCCCCACAAGAAATAGTCCAACGGCGTTAAATCACACGATCTAGGCGGCCAATTGACGGGCCCCAAACGTGAGATAAACTGTTCACCGAACTCGCCTCTCAATAGGGCCATTGTTTCGTGTGCGGTGTGGCATGTGGCACCGTCTTGTTGAAACCACATGTCAGCCAAGACCAGCTCTTCCATTTTGGGCAAATAAAAGTTTGTTATCATCGCACAGTAGCGCTCGCCATTCACAGTTACGTTCCGGCCATTGTCGTCTTTGAAGAAGTACGGCCCGATGATGCCACCGGCCCATAATCCACACCAAACACTGATTTTTTCGGGATACATTGGTAGCTCTTGCAACGATTCTGGCTGGTCTTCACTCCAGATGCGGCAATTTTGCTTGTTAACGTACCCATTCAACCAGAAATGAGCTTCGTCGCTGAACACAATTTTTCGATAAAAATGTGGATCTTCCTCCAACTTTGCCAGCGCCCATTCACCAAATGGGAAACGTTGTGGCAGGTCGTGTGGCTTCAATTCTTGCACCAGCTGTATCTTATAAGGTTTTACACCCAAATCCTGTCGCAAAATTTTCCACGTAGTGGAGTAACAAAGGCCCAATTGCTGCTAACTGCGGCGAATCGACATTTCACGGTCATCACTAACACTGGCGGATACAGCCGCAATATTTTCTGGACTGAATCCTCACTCTACGTCTGCGTGTTGGTGGTTTAATGTCCAATGATGTAAACTGGGTTCGAAATTTAGACACAAGCTTCCGAAAGTAGGCCGACCAAATTGCCCATAAATTGGAAGCAGTGCTCGATGCACTCTCTTAACCAAGCATGAATTTTGATAGTAAAATTCAATAATTTGCAAGCGTTGTTTGTCCGTAAGTCGATTCATGGTTAAATTATTGACCAAACTGAACAAGTTTGACAATGACACAAGAGACGATTCACGCGTCATCTGTCAAAAACCAGTGTTGCCAAAAAAATACTAGCAAAAAAATCAACCATTATAACCACCAACGACAACATGATACGTGTAAAGATGAACAAGGTACGAGAATGCGATTATAGTCTTGAATATTTACTCTTGATCAGGCGACGGAAGCAGAATCACTATGCTAAGCCATTTATCAAACCAAAAACAGAATATCAGTAAGAAGGTTGAAATGACAAAAAATATTGACGCTCGAGGGAGGTTGTATGGGGATCAATGTTTATAATACCACCACATAAACAATGTGTTCATGGAAGAAGCCAGGATGCAGGCAACACTTTGCGGAGGTGCCATGCAATGAATAGAAAACTGCAATCACAAAGTGTACGGCCTTTACAACAGATCAATCTACAAGTTCTGTCCTAGATTAAGGCAATGTAGAAAAAGCTCACTTCAATCAATAAAATCATGGTAGGGTTGAGCCAACGCAAAGTGGTCCAGAACTGAAGTGCATTGTCAGTTTGACTGCACTTGATTGTCGTATTTGATGGTTTATCGATTGAATGTTGCGGAATGTCGAAGCAATTTCAAGGCTACTGCTATTCAGAATAAAAACGCTGCACCGTTGTATCACTTGACGTTGGTTGAACACTTCCATGCGTTTATTTATAAGACAAACTTTTACTTTTGCGTTTTTCTCGTGGTTTCAATGTAAAATCCCCTGAGGTCTGGGCTATTGAAGTAAGGAGGTAAATCGATTTATAAAAAATATTCAATTTATTCCGGAAGGAAAACAAGCCCCCGATCCCAGCAGGGGACACTTCTGCTTAGTTTTTCTTTCACAATCTATTTAATGCTGTAACCGATTTTTGGCCGCATTTAAACTAACAACGGAATGATAAAATGAATTCGAAGGCCTTTAAAGTCCGGGGAGTATTAGATAAGTTGAACGGTATATACTTACATCCGAAAGATATGAAAGTGCGGACGTACATTATTTCTAATTGCGATTATACTATCCTCTTTCAGAGAATCTTCTAATAGTAAATATACAAATTATTACGTATAGAAAATGTGTGCTTAACTTGTTATGCAATCATTATTTTATTTTACAACGATGTAGATTGGTAAACTGAAGTTGGAGGTTACTCAAAAAGGGAATGTACTTTAAAAGAGAAATCAGAAACAATGGCCTCCCACGTTATGACACGCTAAAACAAAGGGAAAATTGATATTTATCAGCCTGCATTTTTCACAGTTTCACACTTGTCTCTCTTTCCCTTTTGTTCTACTAATTGTTGATACAAAATAGCTTTTCGTTACCTCCCAAAATATATTTTGATTTGCTGATATGATGTTGATAGCTGCACCAGCAACAAAATACTTTTATTTTATTAGTTTTATTGTGAAAGTTATCGTTGTTAAATGGGTGAGGTGAGACTCACTACATTTTTTTATTGTTAGTTCCTTTCTCTTAGGCACTAGTCAAAATAGTTATTATACTTATATTTATCTTTATTATTGGGTTGTATCTTAGATATGCTCATGATATAGATACAGTTTTTTTTGTTTTTATTTAAGGTTGAGTTGAAAAATACCCCTAGGGTAGCACTCCACCTTTTCAACTTTGCCCTTCTTCGGTTTTCAAGATATTATTCTTTTGTTTTATTTTGTGTATGCAAAGATGAATAAAGGCGCATTATTATTATTATTATTATTATTTATTTTCCACGTTTAGATCAAATCACTGCAAAACGACTACCAAAGATCCAAAATAATTGTTTCCGTCTGATAAATAACTTAATATCTTACGCTAAAATATAACTTTTAATTTCATCCAATATCAGATCTCCGCATCTATTCACCATGCCACACCACAAGACAGCTTTATTTAACCGATCTTTCATATTTAACACAGTTACTGTGTACAACTCTATTCTGGAAAATCTAACACCATTGTCTTCAAATGGGATTAAATATTATTTAAAAGACTACCTTCTACATAAATAAGTGTATTTTTTGTGCGTGTATGTAGTTGAAAATTTAATTTCATAGTTAAATGTATTCATATACAGGGTGGCGCATCGAAAACGGAACGGACGCATTTACTAGCAGCAGCAGCAGCGGGGGTGACACCACCCCCAAAATCTCAAATGGAAAGGGGTGTCGAGTGATACCTTATTTTAAAGGTCTTTCAATTCGCTTTATAATGATATAAAATTAATGTACTTAAATGACCCCACATAAAGAAATCCAAAGGTGATAAATCTGGCGATCTTGGGGGCCATTCAATGGCACCTCTGCTACCAATCCATTGGTCTGGAAACGTCTGATCTAAATGTTGTCGAACACGTAATGCGTAATGTGGTGGGGCAACATCCTGTTGGAACGTCAACCTACTCGCAACATGCCGCCGATCATTCTGATTTTCAATTATGCCTGTTAATGCAGGATCTATGGCGTCTTCCAGTAATTCCAAATACGTTTCTCTGGTCAAATTTCCAGGTAAGAAAAAAGGACCAACTAAATGATCGCCAAAAATACCACCCCAAACATTCAATTTTTGTGGCAGCTGTGTATGAACCTCATGATAAATTCTGGGATTAGAATCGGACCACTATCGGCAGTTATGACGATTTACTACGCCATTTAAGAAAAGGGAACATTCGTCGGAAAAGCAAGTGTTGAATAGAAAATGTTCATCGCTTATATTTGGTTCACTCATATCTTCACAAAATTGTAATCGCCCATCAAAATCGTCTTCATTAAGTTCTTGTAACAGGTGAATTTTATACGGATGAAAACTATGGGCCTTTAGAATCCGTTGGACAGTACGTCGACTAACACCACACACAGTCTCCAGTTTGCGGGTACCTACTTAACGTAGGATCTGCATAAACTTGCCCTAAAACCCCCACTTCTATTACTTCGTTCCTTATGGGATTTTCAATGTTGCGTTTTTTATTTGCCACTGACCCAATTTCCCGAAATTTAGCTACAAGTTCTAGAACATATTTTCGATGCACGTTACTGTTCTCGTGTCGCTCATTAAATATTTCTGCTGTTCTATTAGGGCACTAATTATTTCCGAAAAATATTTCGATAATTTCAACTCTTTCTGCTGTGGAATATACCATGGTAAGTTTATGTAATAAAGCGTTACAAGTTATTTTGGCAACAAAGTTTGGTCAAATCAATCGCAAACTACGAGTATGTACTAAATTCCTATTCAAAATAAGTACGGGATATTTCTTTATCTTTCTTCAAGAAATAACTTTTTTGCCACAAAAAAAAACGCTCCAATAGCTATTTTGAACAACAAAATGATAAACAAACCATGGGCGTAGTGAAGAAAATCATTTACTTATTAAGTAGTACAAACTAATCTGATATACCTATTAAAGTCTACTTTAAGCTTTAAACCAATAGAGCTTCAAAACTACTGAACTGAAGCTCATGTATTTTACATCATTATAAAGGGAATTGAAAGACCTTCAAAGTAAGGTATCACTCGACCCCCCTTTCCATTTAAGATTTTAGGGTTGGTGTCACCCTCTCCCAGGGGGCTGCACGTGTTAACGTGATTTTTTGCCAAACTTGTGTCACCCTCGAAAACAAAATCGACGATCTGAGCGTTTTTCAAAAAAAAAAAACTGAGCTGCCAGTAAATGCGTCTGTTTCGTTTTCGATGCGCCACCCTGTATATTTGTTGAGTATTATACTTTTTTTTTTAAATTTCCATCAAGTGGAGACATAGTTACATGACTTTCACCATCTTTTAATGTATTATTAATAAAGAAGATTATTGTTATTATTATTATTATTATTATTATTATTATTATTATTATTATTATTATTATTATTATTATTATTATTATTATTATTATGAATTATCATCTTGCGAAAGGCGTCCCATTCAAAATAATCGAGTGGTATAGTCTCCCGATTAAACCGGAAGTGCCTCCTTTTTGAAAATATTTTATCTGAATCTCTGCAATGAATTTTACTAAAATACCAATTGTTCGTACTCTCTAACGAATGTTTTCCGAGTAATAGAGGATGATTTTTATTTCGATGTCATCAGTGTATTCAATTCTGTAGCCAAGCTCAGAGGCAAATGATAACTGACAGTTTAAACTCCCTGACATTTTATTTTGCAGTTTTATAGACAATTTCTGTATGTTCTATAGGAAGATGACTTCTCCAGCCATTTGGAGTTTCATGATGTTAATCTATACCATGAAACAATTTTACATCAGAATCGGAAATAGAGACTGTTCACCTATGCCTAGTTCATAGTAGTTGAAGGAATGTTTCGCTAATGATATCATGAAATAAATGAATATCTTATGATTTTAAAGCCTACTTAAAAATGTTCTATTATATTGAAATGACCTAAGTTTGGCAATGTTAATATGTGGACATATTGTGACAAATCTTTTCGAATGTAAACACTGGTAACATGATCTTAAATATTCCATCATACCAGAAAGAATCAGAGGCAATAAATTGCTATTGTTCAATCCCCAGTTGTGAGCATACATATCTAGAAGAAGTACTTGCGACTGTCTAAGCGTCCAAACATCGTTGTTAATAACCTGTAGTTAGGATCATGACGGGGGAATTGTATAATGTATAACCCCTTATCCCTAATCAAGGAACACGTCAATAATACCGGAAACCTTTCCAGGGCATGGGTTTGGACAATTATGGATATGTCCGATTCAAAGAGTTAACGGATTTATCATCGCCGACCATAAAGAAAAATCGATCAATTCCAACCGGGTGCACGCACATATGCAGGCAGCGTACTGCGGAGGGATATTTCTGACAAAAAGCCATTATAAAATTGCAGAACGGTAGTTTGAAAGTTCCGACAGAAATTAATAACGTTGCGGCCTCCAATTTCAGGATTTTTTAAAATAGATTGCCTTCTAGCTATTCTCTTGACATCGATGTGATATTAAAACTTTCAACTTCACGCGAAAAAGCTGTCTGCAGCATTAGTTGTGATAAACGATGACAGCTAAAGCAAGTGATCTTTAGAAGTGTAATAAGATGTTTGAATTTGGAAATTTTCAGGAAAGTTGTGTGAAATATCGATAGTTCGTGATTGAAGACGCTTTTTTATATGACACTACAAGAAGCTTTTGAGTGGTTACCAACCCCTTTATTTCTGCTGAAGGTTCGTTTTTTGTTGTGTCTAAGATACCTGTACGTTTCTGGATATTTTTTTGAGGGTGTAAAGGCTTATATTAATGATAACTTATTCTTTGGCAATAGTATATTTATACGCTTCTAACCCCAGCAATTCTACTCTAAATGGCCGCGCGCAACTCTTAGATTACAACGTTGTTAAATGAATGGTGAGGACTAGATACTAATTGTATAAACCTACTTGGCTGACAATCCATTTAATTCTTTTGTAGTACATAAAAATGTGCCAAACATAATACTTTAAGAACCGATGTCAGCGGTGCGTGGGAAATGCAGGGTCAACCTACACCACATTATGTTCTCCTTAGTAGGATTTGAAAAATTGATCAACAACTGCTACAGCATGGAAATGTACTAAGGTGGATGCTTTTATGTTACGCCTAAGTGCGTCAGAGTACAAAAAAACTACAGTTTAAGAGGGTTTTACAGAAATAATTTTTCATCGGTGATTCATTTAGAGGAGCTTCTTTCAAACGCATTGGAAGTTGAAATAATTAACCGCAGCTGATATTGTTTATTAGCAGCAAAAGAAGCATTCTTGGCATTCGGTTTTTAAATTCCAATTATCAATCGCACCTTCTAACGAGTGGCATCTGGCGAATAACGCGAGTGATGTTCATTTATTATTCTTCAAACGTACTTACTCACGTAAACGTAACACAAAAAGAAAAAGTCCAGAGGTATGACACCAGGAGATCCAGATGGCAAATTTATTGGTTCGTACTTTGAATTAGCTGCAGGTAGAGTTTTTGTCGCAGTAAACCCACGGTTGCGTTATCATGACGCAATAACGACTTCAAAATATCACTCGAAATGGTCGAACGAATTGTGCAAAATCGGAATTACAGGGTGGAACCCATTTGAGAGAAATACCAACAATTGAGAGAAACAATAATCTTCAAAAGCGTATTGCCAAGAATGCCTACATATTTTCTTCGATAACCGAGACAACCCTATGAATTTTACTGTTCACTCATTATGAAATTCTTGTTATTTGGACAATTATTTGAGCTGTCAATTTTGTCCATGGTGACGATCACAGTAAACCTACCAGTAGTACTGGTTAAAATTCTTTTCCGTACATTTTATATAATATCGACATAAAATGAGCGTTTTTTGAACCACTGGCTGCAGGAGTAGTCAGGGCTCGCTATTTGTGGTCGTGTCTTATCGCTGGCTATCCACGCTTATATTCGACCATGGTCACCAAAAGTTGTCGCTTAATCGAAGAAACTACAGATGCATCTTGCCACTAGTAGCGACGATTACCTGCTGCATTTAATGGCTCAGTTGGGCTTTCAGCCGTGTCAGATGGAAAAAATTAAAACTGCAGTTTATCTTCCATTGTCTACATCCAGCAAGATTATCTTCATTCGTCGAATAATGAGGGATGGTTGAGTCAGGAGGGACAATTTATCAACATCTGAAGTGTACAGTGAATAACTATAAGATCTTACCTTTTAAATTCCTATCAGCTATCACCTGCGTTACAAAATCCGTCAGCAGTGGCACCAAAACACAAAAAGTAACAATGTTCCAAGGCAGTGAGGATACCGCCATGTTTCTTTTACCGTGATTATTTCTACGCGCACAACACATACACTTAGCACATGTCGGTAGTTCTTCTTGTAATAAGTATTTACTCTAGAATGTTTCAAATCGCGGTATCCGCCTTAATACAGAAGACTTCGGGTATTCGGGACGATCCACTAGTGATGCCTGCAAAAGAAAAAGAGGTAAGAAACTCTTCACACAGGTATACGATTTCCACTTCTTTAAAAGAATAATGATTATGTGAATCTTTATAGATAAAATAGACACAAAATGTTACAAACTTGAGAAATTCCAAACTTGAAGATTTCATAATGGGGTTGCTTTACGCCCAAACATATTTGCAATTCCTCGTTACTGACTTTACTGCTTTACTGACGAATTGGCCTTCCTCAAAGTACAAAATGAGAATGGCAATTTATTTCATTCGTCTTTCAAAATAGCGGGCTATCCACCTAGAACCTAGAGCATTCTTAAAACAGTGGTCATGCTTGCACCGTCCGTAGCTTAGAGCTTAAGTTGCCATTGCCATTCTTTTGACAGCGTGCTTTTCAATTATTTTGAATGGCCGTGATCTAGAACTATAAAATACTTACAAGGAACTTCCAGGTATTACATTATTTAAAAAAAAATGTTCCCACATGGCGACTTATTGAAATTTTCAACAATCTACGATTCAACGTCATCGGCTCAAATTTCAGTTTGTTAACTTGACCGATTCAAAAAATGCAAAAGTGCATATATGTGGAAATGCATCTTGACATCTTCCCGATTTCTTGGGCAACACAACATGCATGAATTACTGCACTATTAATATGTAGTCAGGTTTCAAAAGTAATACTTGAAAATGTAAAAGATTAACTTTTTGCCATTATAGACCAGCACAGGAAATTTTCACCGCAAATAGTTTTGAGAGACAGACATAAAGACAGCGAGTGCACTTATAGTGTCCCACGCGGACCATTGTGGGTGTTGTATTTCAAAACTCTTTCTTCCCACGCTACTGAAGAGGAAGTATTGTAACCGTGCAAAACGAGAGAAAACATTTTGATAGTGTAGCTTATCCTTGGCCTCGCTATAAACGGAAAGGTATCGGTCTAAGTTTGACGAAACTTTAATACAAGGTTACGACTATGTCAAAGACAAAAAAGCTTTGTAATTTTTTATTTTCTAGTACCGGTGGGAGGTATGGTCAGAAAAAAAATATAAAAAATAAAAATCGCTTAAACCTCTCTTTTTTCGTTTCAGCCGCTCCTTAGCAGTTTCGCAATAGTTTTTGAGAAAGTTAGAATCGTAGGATATTTATGCTGGTAGTATAGAACATATTTGGCACTTCATACGTAAAATTCTCCGTACATGTGCCCTCAAGACTTAGAGAAATATTTTCAATAGACGCGTCGCGAATCGGTCGCACAGAAACTCTTCGAACGTATCCCGATGTGCACAATCCTGTCTGCGCTTGACCTCTCACCGGTCACCGCTGGCGTTGGCTCATGGCATGAATGAGCTGTGTGGTTCAGTAACATTGCCAGGTGGTCGATACTGTCGGTAGGGCAGCGGACAAATTTCTAGATCGTAGCATTATCAAATGGATGGAGACTATGGTCCAAATGTATCAGCTTGTTTAGCTGACTTTATCCATTTAATCTTTTCTTATGCAGCATTGTACAGGAAATGCAAAGTCAATCTACTTCACGCCATTTTATGGTAAGCTCTTCACTTTTATTTCAAAAATATTTTATTTTCTGTTGGCTTTTGTTCCCTATTTCTAGTGAATTCATATGCCTTTCCGCTACAATTTCATATTAAAATCTTCTGTTTTTGACAGATAAGTGTATAAGTATTTCCATTCGCTCGAATTCGTATTTTGTAGTGTATCTCTGTACAAAAAGCTACGATGTGACCTAAGGGAAGAAATAGAATAAAACAGCTAGCACATTTTCAAATGATCGACCGGATTTTAGCGGAAAGCCCCTAGGCAACACTACGAAAGTTGTAAAATTACTCGAAATCTAATAGTTATAACCTTCGGTTACAATTACAGGAGTTTCCTTAAACCTAAGATGCTAATCCAAACTTCCTACAGAATAGTCATAAAACTTTAATAAAACCAGTTATTAACGGTCCAAGTTTCTGGCCCAGGAGTACAGGTGAAATATCCAGTGGTGTATGCATGGACGATAGGTTGGTGAGCTGTTCTATCAAAGCAGGCTATTCAAGCAATCCACGCCTCATGCTATCCAATATGATGCGATATCATTTTGTTAGAAAAGTACATACAAGTTGCTGAATATCAAACCTTTGAAACCCACTAAATATTTTGCTTCACTGCGAATAAAAGTCAGAAACATAAAATAGTGGAAGAATAAAATGGATATATTCCAAAATTTTGACCCATACAAGATTTTTTCACTGCACTCAAATTTCAGTAAAATGTCGTAAAGCATACAGAAACGAAGTTTGGGAACGATTTGAGACTGCCTTCTTTTTTGTTCGTAGCTCCTCCTTTCGGTTACAAAAACAGTGATAATATCACTTTTCAGAGAAGTATAGTGAAGACTCACAAGTGCAAGTTTCAGACACAGATAATAACTATTCTCGAGCTACTCAATAACTTATATCAAGCGTGGGTTGTGATGGGAAGATGTAGTGAATAGCTGAAACAATATGAAGGCATCGCTAGGCCGTCCTCAGCATTGGCTTGATGTGTCAAATCTTGAATGGTTCTACTATTTGACAAAAACGTATTTTTTGAAAAGCTAATATGCAGCTACCAAGCAATCCTCATGGCTAACAATTATTTTCTGTGCAGAAACCTTCAAAAACTGTGTAAACAGGGGGCGCCCTTGCCAATACCCAAGTGTCGTCGATACCAAGCTTCTGGTATATGATATCGGGCGTTGTATTGAAGAAATGTGCACCAGCGCTGCTGCTTCCCTATGTCTTATGACCTCTGTATCTGAGCTAGTAAGAATATTACAAGCAGTGACGTATTTTGTCGAGAAAGACCTGGGGTTATATCGCTGGCGCTAGCTGGAAACGTAGTAATTTATTACAGTTTACTACTTTTAAGGAATAGAACTGTTCCTTTAGTAATAACAGGCACCCAAATGGTAATTTGGTTCTGATGGCTGGCAGAGCTTTAGCAGAAATATATTTCCTTGGTCTATCGGGATGAACTCACAGGAGATGTGATATGACTATACTGCAAGGATTTTGAAACTGTAGCCGTAATGAAGACAAATTTAAGCCTTACGGCTTTACAGAAGGTTAGCACTTTATTCAGGTCAAACATTCAAAATTGTTCATTCACTTCATCAGGACACACTATAGAAGTGACTATTCCGATCAAATACAATACCATTAGTTGCTTGGAAACTTGTTGATTCTTCATGAATAATTAATGGTTTTATCTCCGTTTTTGGATTGGTTGCCTCGAAAGAAGACCTCAACGTGGTAAGTACACCCTCTGATGATATTACATTTGGCCAAATTTGTCATACAGTAATATTTGTAGTGCATCATGATGAAGAAAATAAACATCTTCAAAAGCTCGACCTTGAACTAAGAAAAGTTCCTTTTAGCTAGTTGCCGCAATCTTAGGCCCGTATCGTCAGTCGTCCCTACAATTGTAGGGCGCCTTTATGGCCTCCTTGATTGTCATAGTTTTCTACTTCTCCGTGTCAGAACTCTATTTTGAGGTTATGTCACAAACATCTATTTGCATCAAATTGTGCTTGCTTTAGAGTTATACCATGTTTTATCAGCCTGAAATTTCCTACAATTTAAAAAGAAGACATATCTTCACAATAGGAGAGCGCTGACGCTGACACGGGACAAGTGTAATCTAGAAATTTTTTAAGGAGAGTAAGCAGTATGACAATCAAGGAGGCCATAAACACACCCTACAATTGTAGGGACGACTGACGATACGGGCCTTAGAGTCTTGTACTTGTCCCTTAGCTAGTCAGCCAAGACCACTCTACTCCTGTAATTTGACCTAAGCCTGTTAGGAGTACTCAGTGGCTAAACTATTTTTTACCTGCATTTGATGTTATACCATATATCGGCCGATCTGCCTATTTTACCGATATATGTATTTGCCGATCTGACAGCTTATATGCCAATATAGGCCGGCTGATATTAAGTTAAATAGCGTTTAATGTAATGGAATTAAAACATACTTTACACCTCACCATTGGGATCTCGGAAACGGTAATGGCGCTTAAATGAGGAAAAAGTTGTATATTTAGTTAACTAACAAAATGTCGCTTAGAATGTTTTGAAATTCAAAGTATCGAATTTTCCCAATTTTTTCTTCTGTCCTGGCTTTACTTGTAGTCGGACTTCAAAATAAATTGCACATTGACATTGCCACCTTTCTCTGTTTTTTGAAATAACAAAGGCTGGTCAATGTATGACATATTATTCATTTCTGAAATTAGAATAAATCACTTTATTCAGCTGTACAGAAATCAAGTATGGCGTCCTCAAGGAAAAATAAAGTTGATGCTAGAGGACTAGAAACAAAGTGTCAAATTAAAATTCTGATTATGTCATCTTGTAGAGGAGAAAAACTGGCAATGTTCAATTCAGAGGAACTCAGGAAAAATTTAAAATGATTTTGGGAAAAGCCGGTTTTTTCAGTCTCTCTTCGGAAGTACTTTGAACTTCTGAAGTTTCTAAGCGGATTTTGTTGTTTGCTCAATTAAGGCGACTTCGTATCTCTTAAAGTTTCCGAGATTCCAATGGTGAGGATCGTATTTGGAACACCTGGTATGTGTTGAAAAAACAAAACTTGACCTCCATTTTCAGTCATATGTTTCTGGAAAATCTTCATAGACAAAAGCAAAAATGGAAACACACGAGCTATCAAAAATAATGCCATTGAAAACATATAAAAATTAATTTAGGCTGATCATGATATAAGAACAATAAAGCTTTTGCCCTGCCAGGAGTTAACCTGCTTCGTCTGGCATCGTGAATGTTGCCCGCCTCAGAAAAAATTG